CGTCAAAACTATAGAAAGCGTTTGCGATCAGAAACTCTACAACTGTGTTCTTAAAGCGGTTAACTGGTAGTGCTGTAACGTCAGAAGGAAGCGCGTTGAAAATTTTGATGCCGTAGTAATTTGATCCATCATGATCAAATCCATGATCCATCGATTATAAGTATGAAGGTCACTGTATTTTGTGTAGTGAGGCAGATTACTTCTAACATGCATCACACAAGCCAGTATATATAAACAGGGCAATGTCAAAAACTTGTATTCAAAAAACTTCCGTCTACAGCACTCCATAAAACCAATACCAGCCATTACCCCGATGCATCGCCGTTGGATACCAAATACTTGTGCAGCATGCGCAGAGTGACCCCAACATAGGATGGCGTAAGATAAATGGGGATAGTTGCAGCCATAATAAGCTTTTATCAGTATTTCAGGCGGTAGAATCTTGGTTTAGTTTCTAATTACGTATATACCCGTGTTTAGTTCATTTGCTACCTGGATTAAGTGTTTTTCCCATGTTAACTTTGAGTCCAAATAAATACCTAGGTATTTGATGGGTTCCAGGTGATCTGTGTCCAGATGACGAAGAGAAAGTGTAGGATTTGACTTTTGGAATTCACAATACTTTAATGCTATTGGATGGTCTGCTGTAAGTTTATATTCATCGGGGTTATAATTAGCAAAGATTGTATCCAAGCACGCACAACCTCGTGTAGCACTACGACTTGTCAGTATCAGACCACAAGATCCACACAATTGGCTCAATTCTTCAGCTTGATTCGTCTGGACATGAAAATGGACGTTGTGGCCAGTTATGATGATACTTTTAGTTAAAACTAATCTAGACAAAATATTCAACCTGCTGAGGAACATTTCAGATAAATAGTTATAATTTGAATATTATTATTAAAAATTATCCCTGCAAATTCAAAATTAATCTCGTTGTTGATGTCATCGATAATAAAATCTTGCGACCTGAAAACCTTGAAATCGGAGCATATTATAGAAAAACTTTTGGAACGAAAGCTGTAGATAATTTTATTCTTAATCTTGCATTATTGCTGTCAGATACATAGATATCCAGAAAAATACGAAAATATGAAAATTTCATGAATTGGTAGTTTTGCAAGTTGTTAATGATACCACTCAGGATTCGGAGCGTGAAACCAAGTCTACCCTGCTTGAAATTTATGCAAGAAAACATCTCGGCCGCTCTCCTAAGTATTGTTCATGATCCTTGGGGCGGCCGATAAACAATACTTATGGCCGAGATTATTACTTATATCACGAGATGGATTCAAAAAGATTCGCTGATGATTTTTTGTTTCTGTAAAATTTCTAAAAGTTTATTGCGCCCGGTGAAACATGCAAACGTGTTGTTTGCGATGTTTTAGGAAACAAGTCCCGGAACTACCCGGCGAAAGTTTCAGTGTTTGACCATGAGTTGGAAAACACGATATTAGAGACCTGCCTGGAAATGATCGCGTCTCTGCCGGGGTTCTGGATCTTTCTGCGTAGCTTCTGGTCGTTGTGGATCCTCCCGGTGTTGTTCCGCTACGGACAGGATGTAGGCTGGTTTCAAGCAGTCGATTCTAACTTTCCTGTCTTCTCCAAAGCGAACGTCGTCGTTCCGAGTGGTGAATGGATGTGGCCCCTCGTATGGGACTTCCAACAAAGGCGTGATGTTTCCCACCCAGGCCAATCCAAACATGTGTACAGGTGGTTAGGTCTTTGAAGACGAAGATCTTTTTACGTCCGTGCCTGATTCCGTGGAACGGTTGAAGCTGTTGAAAGTACCTTTTGAACTCTTGGGTGAAGTTCGTCACACTTTCCTCGTTCCTGCACCATTAGGTGCCAAGAATTCGGGCGGGAGTCTAAGAGATTTGCCGTAGATTAATTCCGTTGTCGTTACCGAGAAATCGTCTCGTCAGGCTGCCCTGATGCCCAATAGGACCACGGACAAGATATCGACCCATTTTTCAGTGGCTTGGTATCGGATGGCGCATTTGAGCTGTCGGAATCTTTCCATGAGACCGTTGGCAGCGGGGTGGTAAGTTCTTAGCATCATGAAAAGCTGTGACTGGAGTTGCCTGCCATGATGCGCTGTTATTCGCAACGACGTTCCAAATCGAGAGACCCATCCGGTCACGAAAGCTTTTGCGATGATAAATGCCTCTATATTTTCGACGGGGATCAGCGTGAAAATGGTCCATATATGTTAAAGCGTGCCTGTATCCTAGATGTCGCAGTACACACTTTCGCTGGTTCCAGGATTGTTATCTTCTTTAGGTTGAAGACAGAATCTGATTCCAGGAATTGAGACAGCTCGTCGTCATTTGTTTGAGCCCGTGCTAATGCTTCGAAATCCAACGCGAGTGACAACTCTTCCACTAGCGATAGTGCGTCGGTCACCACATTGCCTTTTCCCGCCACGTGACGTATATCGGTTGTAAATTCTCCAATAAAGCGGCGCTTAACTTTTTAGAGAAGAAACCCAGTGGTGGCCAAACTCCATCGACTACTTGCTCCAAGGCTGCACCGACGGCAAAATCAGAAGCATCGCACGAGATGGCAAGTGGAACGTCCGGTGTTGATTATACTAGCAGGGAGGCTTGTGTCAGCGATTCAAGGGGTTTGGTGCCTTCCTTTTTAGATTCCCCTTTAAAAAGTTGTTCAGGGGCGATTGTAGTTCAGCCGCTATCAGTACGGCCAACCTCACCAAGTTGAATGCTCCGCAGTTCCTTTGCCGTCTTAGGTCTTGAGTAATCCTTGATGGCCTGGATCCTTTCAGGTAAAGGTTTTACCCCTTCGCAGGCGACGCTGAATCCCAGGAAATTCACTTGCGGTTTCATGAAGCAGAACTTCGTCCATTAACCTTTGACAGATTTGTGCCGCGTTACGAAAGCCAAAGGACATGCACCTCCTGGGCGACAGGAATTTGATTGTAGGCTCGCATCAGGTCAATGGTCAAGAAGGTTTGGATTGCGAAAAGTCTTGCATCGGATATTTGTGCGGTACAGGACTCGCTACTTTTGGATGGGCGGATTATCTTCATTTGCAGCATCATCTCGAACTCCTTTTTGACAGCCCTTTGGGAGTTTAGACATCGAAATCGGCTCGCGAGCGGTTGTCCAGAAGCAGTGGAGATGGTGTTTCACTCCAAGTTTTGGATTAACCCCCTGCGGAACTCTGGAAGGTCTTGTTATTTCGGGGTATTCGGCGACAATTTCGCACGTCGACCAGCAATCCGTAGTAGTCCAGAAAGTCAACTCCGATGATGGGTTTCGAGACGTCGGCGACTAACAGAAAAGCCACGTGAAATCGCGGCGAAGTTATAGATTGAGAGTAAGGGTCTCGTATCCGTAGGTCGCGATCACCGAGTCGTTGGCCGCGTAGAGGTTAAAGGATGACCTCGGGCATCCTTTAACTCGAAAAACACTCAAATCAGGATGGGTGTCTATCTTGGTTTTCTGATCAGACGCGAAGAGACGTCGTAACAATGTTTGGGCGAAATCTCCGGCCTCTGTCAGTGAGGGCCCATCCCGTTTCCAGAGTTACGTGAACAGGGCGGTCATTCTGGTCATTATTCGCCATTAGATGCCATCTAATGACGTTCGTCCAACGTCTTATGTTTCTGGGACGCCAAGATCTAATGTGTAACCACAAGTGTCTTAGCACATCGTCGAGGATGACCATACCTGCCAATACTCGGAGATGTCACAAGAATTGTGATGGTTTCCTGTCTCCGATTTTCTCGTGTTCTAGTAACCGCCTCGTTTCCTGGTACTGCGTCACACTTAACCGGCGGATTAATTCACTTTTTAATTTTTCGTATTTGCCCGTTGGCGGAAGGTTGCACAGAATGTTCTAATGAACTCACCACGTAGTTGTACTTTGTATCATCGTTGGCGATCTGTTCCAAGACAAACTGCGTTATTTATTATTATTATTATTATAATATGTGGTACTTGCACATTTGGTTTGGTGTCGGGAACGTCATCTTGACTTCTGCTTTATTCTTCTTCCATCGTCGGTGGTTTTCTTCACTCATCGATAACTAATTTTGCCACGATCAAAAATATTGATCATTTAGCACGCTGGAAACCATAGAAGTAAGGAGGTATGATGGTTCGGACATGTTCAACGGATAACAAATCTGGATACTGCCAATCCAGAAACGATGAAGGCCAAGAATCCTAAAAACCTTAAACAATCTCGGCCGACTTCGAAGACGTCGGCCGCCCCAAGTGTCGTGATATAAGAAATAAACTCGGCCGACTGATTTTTCGTATTTTCCTCGATATTTATGCATGACGTTGCATTACCTACTTACAACATCAAGCGTGCAGACATTGTTGCATCTGAGGTTGATAGACAATATTGCATAATAGATTTTGCAAGCCAACGCAACGCATGTAGTTGGGTAGTCCATAGGTCCATCCACTTGATGCAGTGTATTTATCAACGATATCACCTATAAAACGAAGATTTGATGATTATTAATGATGAACGAATTAAAATTTTATAATCGAATTGTTCAACGATGTTGGTAAAATGATGATGAATCTTGTTATTTTGAATAAGATAAAGTTATATAAAGTTATGGTAAACATGGGGGAGTGTTATCTTATTCGAAGATGTTGTAATAATAAATAATGATTTAGTAATGTTTATAATCATCATAAATCCATCGGGGAAATATTTTAAGGTAAATACTAAGTAAGTATAAGTTGAGAGTAATAAGAAAACCCCACTAGTTTTTTTATGATAACAGTACATTGAGATGGCTGGAATTTGCACCTCGTTATCTGCTGGAAGATATTTTGGATGTTGTTGTTTGAGAAGTCCGAAAGAGTGTTGAATAATATTGCGTTTCTTCCGTATGCGCTGTATATTTGTGTTGATGTTTGGACAAGATAAGTGGACGTACGCCAAAAATAATATAAACTATAGTATCTGTGTTTACATAGTATAATTATGTGTAACACCGGGCTGTAGAGGGCTGGGTCGGGACGAGAGGAACGAATCGGAAGGAGGAGCCTGCGGGATTCGGGATCGCCACTCTTCCGAACATCATAACGAACGGATCCGATATGCAGCGCTTGGGAGAGTGGCACAGGTTCAAGGTTCATATCACTCGTATCACTGAACGAAGAAATAGAGTGGGGTTTGAAAAAGTTGTGTTTAAAGAAATCATGTCGATCGAGACATTCTTCTACAAGCAGTTCTCACGAAGACACTATGCGCCAAACGGTTCTCGTACTTATCCTGTTCGCGTGCGTGACACGTGCACCGGGTGAAAATTTCTTCGATTTTATCATGTCCGCATGGAAAAATCCAGCAGAATCAGCATGTACAGGATGTTCCGGCAAAGTTCTCGTCACCGACGAGGATGACAAAACTAATAACATTGAAGATGTCAGTGACAGTGTTGATGAGAGTGCTCTCACAGCCCTTAGAGTGGAGTACATCAAAAACCAAATACTGAAAAAGCTCCGATTGAAAGAAAAACCTTCCGTTTCTGCGGATAGCCTTCCGAAGGTTATTCGAGAGAATGCCTATATTATACCGAAACTTTACGATGAAGATGACAACTACACCGAAGAGTACTACGCAAAAACTACAAGGGCTGTCATCTTTCCTTACGAAGGTAAATTATTCAAAATCAATTAAAAAGAATTCCATTAAAACTAGCACAAGGAACATCCTAATCAAAACAGTTGTCCTCCTTTTCATCGTAAACTTTGATCCTACGCTGACAACAACAACAACAGTCAACAATCTCTTTCGTTACAGATGCCGCTCGATGTATCAGAAAAATCAGGTATCCTTCCGCTTGCATTCCTTTCCAAATGTCTTCTGGGCTTCAAGCTTCAGATGTTAGTTCCGCCGAGCTATGGTTTTACAAACTACCGGATCGTCTCGATGACCACAATCAAACTTTCGTAATCAATGAAGTTGCTCATTGGGATAGCAATAAAAGTTTTCAAAAAAATCAACCATTAGCTATTAAAGAAACAAGCATAACAGGTAAGAAAAAACGTATATCAAAAACAATTTTTTTTTGTTTTTAAAAAAACGTCTTAATCAATTTATTTTTGCTGATTTAACACTATCGTCAGTTATTTTCGTTTAAATCGCGTAAATAAGGATTAAACATATTTATTATTTAATCATCTTATTTTTAGCTGCTTGGTTAAACGTGGATGTATCTTACGTTGTGAAAAATTGGCTTCAATATCAAGATTCCCCAACGCACGCCATAAACGTCGTTTGTAAAACGTGCGGAAATGATAAAAATCAATCGCCGATAGCTCACGATGGGGATAGAAAACCGTTTATAGTTATTTATACGCATAATCAAGAGAGGGTTAAACAACACAATAGAAATAAAAGGCAAACTGATTGTGGGCCAAATAGTAACGAGTGTTGTCGCGAACATCTTTATATTTCTTTTGCGGATATTGGTTGGAACGATTGGATTTTACACCCGCCTGGGTATAACGCTTATTATTGTAAAGGTTCTTGCGAAACAGCTGCTTCTTTAACTTTGGCTGGATCAGACCATAATCATATATTAAACGTAAGTTTATTCAAATTTTAATTTACACAAAGAGGTTGCTTATAAAATATATAATAGGGCATAAGAACCTCTCACTTCCTAAAAATGTTTTTCTTATTTTTGTATACATATTTTTATTTTTTTTATAGAGAATTATGTTGGGGAAGCAACATAAAAAGACGACAAAGTTAGAATTAAAGCCATGTTGTGCACCGACTCATTACAAACCGTTACAATTGCTGTACATGAACGACAACAAAACGATAACAACGAAAATTTTACCAAAGATGATCGTAGATTCTTGTGGATGTATGTAAAATAAACGAAAAAATTGATCGTACTCACAATACCGATGCAGTATTGAAAAGCAAAAAAGTCGTCAAAGTTGTTGTTTATTAATAATAAAAATGGTCACTTTTATAGTATTACTAATTTGTGCGTGTCCTAACTTAATTTTATATTTGTAGATTATTTATTTTAATTTTTTTTATCTATTACCATTATTATATCGTACGTGAGCTAATTAATGTAAATTAATGCAAATTAATTAATGTAATTATGGTGCTATTTTGAATGCGGAAAAATAAAAAATAAAAATTCGTTCGTCGTTATCACGGGTTTTATTTCCTCATAAAATATCATAAAAAGGATATTCCAATTATAATCGATTTTCTCCTCGCTTTTAACAAATAATATATAAACCACTCTAAACGATAATCATAATAATCATACTGCGTTATATTTTTTTATCTGATTACCACAAAAAAAATAAAATAAAATAAAACAAATTAGCATATACATTTATAAGTGACGAAGTTACTATACACAATATACAATAATAATCCTTGCCGTAGAAAATAAAACAGCACAGCTTGCAGGCTCACTGTAACTAAAAAATAATAATAAAATGACTATTAAAATATACACATATATATGAAGATAAGTAGCTGTCGTTTATATACACCGAATATACTTATGGCAAGTTTTATTTTAATTTTCGTAAAAAAGCGTCATTGTCGGAAATGTGAATGAAAAATTCAAAACGATCACAGATTTTAGAACGTTCCGGTTTAATTCAGTTTTAAAAAAATAATTAAATATTAATTTGAGAGTAATCTCGGCGTAGATAAAACAAAGTATGCGATTTAAAATAACTAAAATCATAAACAAGAATTTATCTGAAAGGCCAAAAGTACTCGTTTTCTGCAGCGCATAAATTTCTCTTATTAATTGCTGTATCATACCGAAAAGATAACGAATGCAGTGTTGGTAAAAATGTTACAATCGAATTATCCACCCACATTTCCTCAAATCGAGATAAAAAATTTAAGTTCGCTTCTGCCAAAAAGTTGATTTATCATTTTTTTTACGTATAAAAGGTGGAAATAAAATTTACCTGGATTGGACGTACCTGTACCTAATATATACGTATATATCCTTATATATACATACAGGATGTCTCAGCGAGACCGTTCATTAAACGTTTATATTTTTTGCTCAAAACATCAAAAAACACTCGATTTTTGGGATATTAATTTAGGATTCAAAATATGAAAACGATGAAGACGACTAAGTAATAAAATATGGGGGTGCCATTTAAAAATGTGAAGTTATGCTAGATCCAAATTTCGACCCATTCTCGGCACCAAAACACAGATTTTTGTTTTGGCCAGAATCCCATAAACGTGTAATGAAGGGTCTCGCTGAGACACTCTGTATACCTAAGTTATGACGACAATTAGCAAAACGGTGCGGAACGAAAATTGAGAACCATTTTTGTTTTAACTATAATATGGACGCATTTCTAAAAAGTCACCCCCCCCCACAAGGTGCGCCATAAGTAAATTAAAAGAAGAGATCTTAAAGATGACGTTTTATTACTATGTTTATTTGAACCATTCTAAACCGAAATATATCGGAATAGAATTGTTGACATAAACACAGTATTTGTGTTTGAAAAACCAATTAACAGGAATGTTAACAAAATAACAAATTAAATTAAACGGTAAATTGACGCATAACTTATAGCATATATTCTGAAACCCTATATATTTTTTGCCCCTACAGACTAACGAACAGGCGTGTCAGTCAAAACAAAAAGAATTAATAAATCGATTAGGTTTTTCTTTCTATAACTGAAAACATACAATACGGTTTCACAGCCGCACATCATTCACGCCCCCTTTAACGAACTTCAACTCGTAGAGAAATAGCCGATGATAGGACAAACAAACAAACGCCAACAAACAAAATAAAGTGTAAAAAAAAGATTTCAATCGCAAGATTTAAACAGTTCAGATCACAGAGTTTCACTATCAGTTGCAAGGCACTAGCCGTCAATTGGTCTCGTAGCTTGTGAGCAGTGCCGCATCCACCGGTTCCATGCAGCTGGGACAGGTCAAGCTTCTCATCAACCAATCATCGATGCACTTCATATGGTAGGTATGCATACATGGTAAATAACGCACCGCGTCTCCAACCAAAAATTCTACCATACATATTACACATTCCCTCGCCTTTTTGCACCCATCGTAACTTCCTGTCGGCAAATGCTGGATTAATCCGATACGTTTCGCTATTTTCACCTGCTCCTCTTCCGTTAATTGCGCCACGGACCTCGTCACACTTGGGGACGGGTGGTAGATTGGAGAAGTTGCTTGGATTGGTAAGGTTTCCTAAAATATTTTATTACATCCCAATGAAATCATAATTATATCAAAATTATTGGCAAATTAACAACTTTATTTGTTTATTATTGTAGGAATCCACGAATTATTTTATATAAAACTCGTATTTTAATGTTTATTAATACCGGTTTCGACTTTTAGGTCATCATCAGCCAAAATCTATGTAAGTGGAAACAAAGAATCATCATATCAATTAAATTAAATTAACTAATGATTCAAAATGGAAATATAGAAGTAACACAAATGATTCAATAAATGAATAAAACAAAATTTAAAGCAGTCAAAATAAATATGTCACAAATTAAAATAGACGACAAGACGAATACATCACACGATACTGGAAATTTTACAATGAAAATACACCAACTGAACAAACCGGTTACACATTATACAAATTAAGATTAAAACATATTGTATGTATATACACTACTCTCCAAAATTATCGCACCACCAAAATTATGCATTAAGTTTAAAGGTATTTTTTTTGAATCAACGGATGAATTTTGATGATTCTTTCTTCACGATATAGGTTGATTTTTAAGGAAGAAATGTGTTGATGGTTTCTGACAATTGTCAACGTTTTACCCATATACGGGGTGTAAAAAGAAATTTATGTTTTTCTTCTAATTTTGCAACACCCTGTGGAATTTATCAGAAATAACCGCCACATTCCATTTACATTACGTTAGAATGGCAACCCTTCTCTACATTTTCGTTCAAGAATCATCTCGATATCTCTTTTATCAAGGAAGATACACAAGTTTAAATGTAACGAATTTTTATTAACATTTTAAACAAGTAGGTGAAAACTAAAAAACACTACATAATCCTTAATCAATTCTCTCAAAATCACCTAATAACGTGTATTTCCGCCTCTCTTACGTATCACTTCTTCACAGCGACGAGGCATACTTAAAATCAAGCGTCGAATTTGATCTTGATCAATTGCATCCCAAACCTCTCTTACCATCCTCTCAACGTCGTCCAAAACGATAGGTGGTGGATGTCGGCCCCTTAACTGACGATCAATATTATCCCATAAATTCTCTATTGGATTGAGATCAGGGCTACAGGGTGGCCAGTCCATGGTTTGTATACCAACTTCATCCAAATAGTCACGGACCGTATAGGCAACATGAGGTCTTGCATTATCATGCATTAATAAAAAATTATTTCCTATGTAAGGAGCAAAGGGTACCACGTGTTCCGATAAAATGTCTGTAATATACCTTTCACCTGTTAATGAACCTCTTCGCAAAGAAACAAGGTCTGTTCGTGCTGTAAGCGAAATTCCACCCCAAACCATTACAGATCCTCCATTAAATAAAGTTGTCGGTCGTATGTTGCACTGTGCATAGCGTTCATTGGGCCGTCGAATTACTCTTAAACGTCTATCTGAGCTGTATAAACAAAACCTTGATTCATCTGTGAACAGTACTTGTTCCCAGTCATCAGCATTCCAGTCAAGATGTTCTCTGGCAAATTGCAATCTCCTTCTACGATGATTTGCGTTTAAATTTGGTGCTCTGGCAGGAATCCTTGCATGCAAATCACCTTCGGCGAGACGCCTTTGTACAGTGTTAGTACTAATTCGAATATTATGAACATCTGCTACTTGTATCTGTAAGTTTCTCATTGTAACAAAACGTTCCCTTAAAGCACGAAGTCTAATAAAACGATCTTGGCGTAGTGTTGTGACTCTCCTTCTTCCTTGTCCAGGTCGTCTTGTATGATCATTTGTCTCTTGAAATCGTTGAACGGCACGTGATATTGTTGTATGAGAAACTCCTAATCTCAAGCCTATTTCACGATAACTTATTCCTTCATTGGCTAAAGTAACTGCCTCAACACACTCATCGCGGTTTAAATGTCTTGAAATACGGTCCATGTCAAATAAACACTTAATAACCCAAAGCAGCAACTTGCTAAATGCGTAAATAAAATTGACAAGCATTTCTGTCAAACTGTTTGATATTTCATAGCCTGCTTGTTTCATTAGTAAGGACTATATTTCAACAAAATTAAGTCAAACTTAAAAAATGTGTATCTTCCTTGATAAAAGAGATATCGAGATGATTCTTGAACGAAAATGTAGAGAAGGGTTGCCATTCTAACGTAATGTAAATGGAATGTAGCGGTTCTTTCTGATAAATTCCACAGGGTGTTGCAAAATTAGAAGAAAAAACATAAATTTCTTTTTACACCCCGTATATGGGTAAAACGTTGACAATTGTCAGAAACCATCAACACATTTCTTCCTTAAAAATCAACCTATACCGTGAAGAAAGAATCATCAAAATCCATCCGTTGATTCAAAAAAAAAATACCTTTAAACTTAATGCATAATTTAGCTGGTGCGATAATTTTGGAGAGTAGTGTATATAGTAATAATCGGAAGACTGTTAAATTATTTATTTGTTATTTTTGATAGGAAAGAGTACAATGGGGTATAAAAAATATCAATTTAATAATAATAATAACAACAAATTACTTTATTTTTTTTCACTAGTAATACAAAAAAAAAATGCTTGTATACTTAGAAAAAGAAAAGGAAGCAAAAATACATAACTGAAAAAAAAATGGCGAAGTTCCGTCTTAAATCGCTTTTCAACTCGACCATGAGAGAGAAGAAAAAAAAAGAAACTTATTGGAAATAAAAGTAAATTAATAAACGACTTTACAAACTAGAATTGGGACACAGATTCACTACTCACTATCTGTGTCTGGTCTATTCAGTGTTATTTCATGGGAAGCCCTTATTTGGTTGTTTACCATGGTTACGCATAGCTACTGCTATTTTTCTATCTCAAATGAATGGAAAAGCATGAAACTTTAAGATAACTTTTCTCGAAAATTTTCTTATGTATCCAATATTAATATTGACTGTAATAGATGCAGAACAAAGTTCTCTTTCATATTCCGTAATAGAAATGAGGCATTGCTATTTGAAAAAAATATCGATGACGTCATTGCTCGTTTAAAAATGGCGGCAAAAATTTTAAATCTATACCAAACACTTGCAAATATTTTTTTTGCGATTTTTCGATAAACTGTTCTTAATTGTTTTAAAGAATTTATCCGTTACTTTTGCGAAACCCTTTATAAAATGCTACTCCTCCCCCTCTACCATCACGATCCACCCTCTCCAGTACAAAACCCCCAACACCTACCTTCGTCGAATCAATTGCCCAAAATGCGGGGGAAAAATTAAAAATTCGTTTTAATTTAAAAAAATTAAAAAATGCATTTTAATTAAAAAAAAATATATAATCAAAGAAATATAAATAAACTTAAAAAAGGCAGAAGGTTAATTTGCAAGAAAAAGTCTGAAATTGCAATAGTTATAAACTAGACTTCAGCAAAAAACAGGAATTACATTGTTCAAAGTCCACATGAAGTCTGAAATTACTATCCCCCCAGAAAGAAGTAGCTGTCAGTATCAAGAACAAAACATACATAACATTGGCAGAAGACTAGATACTGCTTCTAAAAAACTAAATACTGCTTTCTGAAGACTAGATACTGCTCTGGAAGATTAAATACTGCTTTCTGAAGATTAGATACTGCCGACAGATCTAAATACAGCGTCTGGAACACTAAATATTGGTTTCTAAAGACAAAAATTGCTTTGTGAAGACTAGATACAGCTGACAGGTCTAAGTACTGCAAAAGAAAGATAAGATATTGTTGGAGAAAACATACATAACGTTGTCAGAAGACTAGATACTGCTTCTAGAAGACTAAATACTGCTTTCTGAAGACTAGATACTTCCGACAGGTCTAAATACAGCATCAAAACTAAAATTGCTTTGTGAAGATTAAATACTGCTTTCTGAAGACTAGCTACTGCTGATAGGTCTAAATAGTGCAAAAGAAAGAAATAAGAAATAAGATATTGTTGGAGAAAACATTAAAAAGGCGCCGGCGCCCCCTCCGGAACCGTTTATAGTACAGAAAATAGCGTTTGTAAGCATTTTCTACTCATAATAAGCTAAGTTTTGTGCGAGAAAAAAATTTTTTAAATTCATAATTGGTGAAGATTTTGAAGGGGTAGCGGTTGTTTTTCTCCCCAACTTCTACGCCACTGGAAAAAGTACGGTTTTGAAACGCCCATTTGAACCGTCAATGTTTTATACATAAAAAAGTTACTGTAGGTCATGAGCTCTAAAGTTGACCGTTTTCGAGAAAAATCAACTTTTATGTTGAATAACATGGTCAATTTTTTGAAATAAAAATTTTATTTTACTAAAACGTTAGAACAACACAAAAGCAAGCGTTAACTTCATAATTGCACAGTTAAATTAAATGTTGGAAATGTCCGCCGTTAGCTTCAATGCACGCAGCAATTCTTCGACGCATTAATATTTCTTTATTTATGCAAAAAAAGTGCATACACTCTTACACCTGTCAAAACACATATTACATATTATATATAGTAATTAAAACTACAGAAATACTCAAAATTTACATATCGTCAACATTAGAATTTAAAAATTGTTGTGTGGAATAAAATGCATTTTTAACAAGAATACTTTTAACCGTGCATTAATTCCAGCGGAAGGTAACTCACGTAACCGTCGAGGTATTCTATTAAACAGTTCTTGGCCCATATACAAGGAACCGCACTGGGTTCTTGACAGTTTGAAAAAGTCTGGGCAAAGATTTTCTCTCCCTCGAGTATTGTGAGAATGAATATTAGAATGTTCTCTGACCAAATTACGGTTCTCCATAACGTACATAATACAACGCAATATATATAGCGATGGCACAGTGAGAATAGACAGTCGGACAAAAGCAGGGCGGCAATCATCCCTGTAAGCTATACCTGCCAGACTACGCACGTTGTATTTTAAACATTTGTTCACTCCCGGGATCAGCACCCCATGCAAGAATTGAATAGCTAAGTAATGAGTGAACAAATGCATAGTAAGCGTTTTTAGCATAGTCTACGCAGTAAATAAATGTTTTTACTTATTTTAGACTCCATA